AAAAGATAAAAATAGTAGTGTTGGCCATAACTGCCATTAGATATCACTAAATCTTATTTCAAGTGGAAAGATAACCTACTCAAATTAGTCCTACTCAAAGCTGTTATCATTTTTAAAATAACAGTATCATGCAGTCTTCTGATAAGCACCAGTTAACCTAAAATTGTTTTAAAGGCTTTTACTGTATGCCAATGGTGACCTACTATCAAGGCTAGAAGATCCTATCTTCCATTTCGCACAGGAGACAATGCAATTTCACTGCTTTGATACAGACAAATGCTGGAGTATGGCAGGAGGAAAGGCAGTTCAAATGCTCAGGTTGATTTGATATAACAACTATCACAAAGAAGTGATGAGCTTTTTCCCCAGAATCTGCTGTGACAGAAGGGATACTGCACATCGACGGTGCATCTTTCCACTTACTCTTCTTCCTGCCCCAACAAATACCAGGATTATTTTTTTTTGCCCTATTTGAACTGTTCAAGTGTATCAACAGACACTTTGCAACCTAAGTTCCAGGAATGGAAGGGAAGTTTAACAGCATAGATGGTAGGAAGGAGTTTCCTCTCTCCCTCTATGGTTCTGTGAGCAATGTGGAATCCGGTAGACAAAAGTCTAAAATGCAAGATAATCAGGTAGTATTTAACATAAGTACAGTGTTTACATTGTGACATACTCTCCGATTAAGTTGTATGTGGAGTTCACATAATAGATGTTATCTGAAAATACAGTATATCTAAAAACCACATGGAGACTTATTTCACACAGTGCCCTGAATGTGTCAGATAACTCCTCAACAATAATGCTGGTCTCAAGCTTGAATGTGGTTCAAAAGTCGAGAAAGCTGAGGTCAATACTCTTGTCTTTCCTCCCCATTCAAATTAGCAACTGTAGCTGTGGTTGAAATTGGTGATACAGCTGTATTCATTTAGAAACCCAATGTTTGTAGAGTAAGTACAATTTTTTGATTGAAAACCACTATGTCCTAATCAACCTCATCATTTTCTCTTTTAAATAAAAATAGGTTTTGCATGTCTTACGTGGCATTGCTAACTGTAAAATGCTCTTGAAACACTCACTGCACACCACCAAAACCTTAGGGATTCATGAAGTTTTTCATTCCAATAAATAAATTGCAAGTCTGAAAAAAGAAAAAACTAATTTATCTCTAAATCCCTCTCAACAGCACAGCCATCCTACTCAGCAGCTGTAGGGAGGTAAGCTCCTTAATTCTCTTCTGTTTAACCTACTCCTGAAGACTGATGGCCTAATGAGATATCAGTAGATGATTCTGTCCTTCGCTGTATGGGTCTAGAAGTGATTCCACAAAACAGTCCCAGACAAACCAGACATTAACTCTCATACAATTAGTTAACATAACGCAGTCTGGAAGTTTATATACTTTTCTACAAGATGCAAGGTACTGAGTGACAGGTCTGCCTCCAGGCGGGTCACAGAGATCACAATAACCCACCCAAAGAGAAGGAAACCTAGATGTTCACCTTTGGGAAAGCAGAAACCCAGATACTGTAGTGGTTTATACAGTCTGTCAGTTGGCTCACCAGTGATGAATTTTTCTTTCTTTGGCTGCCTGCCACTGAACAAAAGCTAATCTTGCACCTAAACAATCTAGGCATTAAACACACAGAAAGCCTTATCTTCTGACTTATGACAGAAGATGACAGACAGAGCTGGTGAAAATAAAGAGGCACTGCCCTAATAGTCAAGGGCAGCAACCCTTTAAGTACAGCGTGATTTTTAACACCCAACCAACTCTACATCTTGGCACTAACAGTTGATGCATTTGCTTTGCCAGCCATACATGTCACAGTGGAAAAATCTGACTTCGACAGTCTAACACAGAAGAGAAACTTAAGACCACACAAAACATCCTTATTCATTCTGTCTCCTTGACACATATGAAAACGATATCTGAATCGAGTGCATCTATCCTAAACAAATCCTCAGGTGCTTGTTTCTGTATGCAAAACTTGGTAACCATTCACCTTAAAATATTATCTCTGAAAAAAGTACAAGAATGCACACATAGCCTCTAAAGAACTAAGATTTTAAATTCTTTAAAAAAGAAAAACCACACACAGAAACAAGACCAAAAAAAACCAAAAGCACCTACAAACCAGCCACAAATATTATTTCCTGAGCGCTGTTCAGCCAGCAGGTTGAAATGCAGCAGCACCTGGATTTAAGCACACAGTTATGCAATTAAATACTGTAAAATACCAAAGCTAAATTTGTGACGGAGCCTTACCATGGCCATTTCTGGATTCAAACATATTCAAGCAGAAAAGTTCTGCAGTACAGCTGTTTGTGTATGTTAAGTTCACCTCAATTAAGTCTGTTTATGGCAACATTCAAAGCCTGACTTCATTTTAGTCGAACTGCAATAGACTACCAAATCAAATTAAGAGGGAACTGCTGATTCAACTGTATCAGTGCAAGAAATCAACTCTTTCACACGCAAGCAAACTGCAACTATTTTGTTTTATCAAAGTGACTCGACTCTACCTTAACAGCGATGTATCCACTACACTGCCTGAAGAAACACTGCTGCAGTGTATTTTTTTTTGTTTTGTTTTTTTGTGTGTGTGGTTTTTTGGTTGGTTTTTTTTTCCAATCAGCAGCCCAAGCACTCTGAAGGGCTTCACACAGAGCAAGTGCAACATCCACATAGGAGGTAGGCCTTAAAAACATTAAAGCTTGTTCAGTAGAAGCTTTCCCCATCACTGCATTTTTCAGTAACAAAGATGTTGTCAGAAATGACAATTTTTCGTGTCCCCTGATGATGCCTTGCTAGCATTTGGTTATAAGCCATAAAGCAGGAATAATTTCAGCCTGTCAGGAGTCTAGCTAATGCCCAGTTTTCCCCTAGAGAGAATTCCTGTCAAATGTAATGAGAGCTCCAAAGGCCCTCTCTACAACATAATGAGCACTTAGGCCATGCTGGTGATCAGCCAGCAAAAAGCATCAATTTGAGCCTGGCTACACCCTTGGGGCTAGACATCACCAGTTTTAATAAGAATTATGATTACTATCTGCCAAAAGCCTCCTCAGAACTTACCGTTAGCAGCAGAAATTCAGAAGAATGTCATTGGTAGATGACAGGAAACAAAAAAAATCCTAAGACCACCTACATACTGAACTGTAACACCATTTGGCATCCTCACTACAGGCACCTAAATCAAGAGTCATTAACAAGAAGGTGCTGCTTTTATTGGAAATCAGAATTACTCAGCATCTAAAAGCATAGTATCAGAGACTTGCATCCAGGGAAATATATTTCTGCCTTCAAAAAAACTTATTCTTAACAGCATACACAGAGGAAGTGTACTCTCCCAGCTAGAAAAAAAGAGCATAAGTATAATGCTCTGTCATAAATCTTAAAAGCTTCTGCAATATCACTGCCTACTGGGTATGTAATTATAGTTGCCATACATACAGAACATTAAACCCTTGCAATACACAGATGTTAAGGTCAAAGTGGAAACCTCTGTTCTGACACTCTTTAATCTTGTGGGCTTAATTGATTTTATCTAAAGTTAATTCCTAGTACATTTACTGAAGTCACACACCCTCTTAAAAGATCTTCTGAAAAACGACATCTATTTTGCTCCAAATGAGGCTCCTATACAGATGTTGGCTTCCGCATAGGTTACAGTGTGCCCAAAAGTTGTTTAGGAAAAAAAAAAAAAACCACCACAACATCAAAGAAAGAAATCTTCAAGTGACAAAGCCTGGAAAAGCCACTACACACAAAAACTGATGCTCTTCTTAAAAAAAAAAAAAAAAGACACAAGACGACTAATGCACCTATGGTACAGATTCAAGTCAAACGCTACTCTAGTTGTTGTTCTGTTTACCTATTCAGTGCATTACTTAAAAAAAAGAGGTTGTCATATTTCTTCTTTTACCAGCATTTTGGATTCAAACAAGTGTACCTCTAAAAACCAAGTGAATACCTACCCAGCTTTGCTGACAAAGTTATCATGGAATTACTATACTACCTTACCAAATGCAATATTTTTAGGGGAAACAAAACAAAAATCAAAGAGTTCAGAGTTACAAAAGAAAAATTCAACTCTGATTCACTTGCTTAATGAAAGTCTTTGAATATACTGAAGATCCGAAGCCTGAACTAATCAATTTCTTCGCTGTGCCCTAGCCAGTCAGCCATGCTCTTTAATTTAATGAAACAAGAGTTTTAGATGAAATAGCACATACACATCACCAAAGAATTGTATTGTTGCACTTTGAAATGTGTCCAACTGTGCAACTTCATCTAATGATAATTTTTTTTAAGAGGCCATCGATTTCTGAAAGACTTATTGTACCAGCATCTTGATGAAAAAGTGAATGTCAGCATATCTACAGAATACTTACACCCTGCCATTAATGCTTTATTTGGCAGACAATGACTACTCAATTGAGGGTCCTCTGGGCTGAGCAATCGTTTAGCTTTTCTTCTCTTATGAGGTCCTTAGTGTCTTGTTCCAGTTCAATACTCTTTTTATTCACCATTATAGTGGCCATAAGTGTGAATTTTATGGGAACTCTGCAAACTCATAGTCATAACTACAGCTTTCCAAGTCACTAATCTTTTCATACCTTTAAATGGCAAGGATTTGAGCAACCATCACTACATATGCTACACATGCATAAGACCAGTTCTACATATCAAAGGCCCTACCACCAACAAAAGACAACAACATAAAGCAATGATTTATAGTTTTTGAAACCACGGACACAAGATCTTTCCTATTTTTGCCAGTGTCTTTTAGGACCGATACCAAGGAAAGTCTTGTCACTCAATCTAATCTATACCTCATTTGACAGCAGGTAGGCAAAGGTTTACTAATCACGGCTACAAATCAGCCTATTGATTCAGTGACATGATACAGTCACCCGAACATAAACAAAACAGCTGCATTTAAATGCATTACACAGACCGCAGGTTTTGTGGTTTAGAAAATAAAATCCCTTACCTGTTTGTGCATTTCAATGTTTAATCCATATGACATTTCATAATACTGCAAATAAAGGAGCATACATTATTTTCTTATGCTGGCTCACATTGTATTAGGAGGTATGTTTCTAAAATACAGCAAAACACAAGTGTACTTACCATCACATAGTGCCTCTGCATTTCTGTCTTTTCGCTTGCCAGTTTCTCACATTCCAGTTTAAGGCTACAAAATAGATCACACTTCAATGTAACAGTTACACCATTCGTTTTGACATATACCCACTTTATTTGTATTTTGACAGAAACAGCTAATTAAAAAAAGCTCATAAACTAACATGCAAACACAGAAAGACTTGATTCATACTCTAAATACAAAGGCTTAACAGGAAATTCAAGACTTATTTCACGGGTGCTGCATTCTGTCTCCAGAACCCAAACATATCCAATCGGTGTGCTTAGACAAAGAGCTGCTATGAAGCGCTACAATTTTCAAGGATCTGAATTCCTCCAAACTACTTCTCAGTAGTAAAATGAAGGTACTTCTTTGTACACAGCTTTTAGTAAATTACTGCCAAGTAATACCACTCCTGTTTATAATTACAACTGGAGTATGTCTATGATTCTTCACCTTGAAAGTATTTTCTAACGAACGTTACCATGCCCATAGCTTCAAAATCAGTAACTTTGACTATCATTTATTACAAAATTCATTTTCTATTTTTGTTTTCATAAATGAGAAGTTGCATTTGGCACTTGCATATCGCATCACTAACAGCAGCATAATCCTGACTTCTTTCACTGAGGGCAAATGCCTTTACATTCCCTTTGCTGCCTGATTTTTTTTTTTTTTTTTGAGTAACACTAGTAAGCATCCTAGGGAACAGTTAGTGTGTAGGCCAGCATTTTTCACTTACTGCTGCAATACCTAACGTGTATAGTTTACACGGCATTTCTAATGTAATAAACGGCTTAAACGAGGTAACGATTTTAGGTAAGACTAAGACTACAGTACCACAGGTAAGAAAGAGGAAGCCTAATCAAAAACAAGCCATTTCTAACTGGGAAGCGTCTCGCAGGTGCACGAAAGCACAGAATTAAGAAAGACTAGCGTCCCTTAACACCAATTGCCCTGTGTGTGCAAGAGCCCTCGCCCTAAATCTCTGCAGGAACCTCCGCAGCAAGGACCAACGCAGCAAGAGCGACCGAAGGACAGCACAGAGACCAGAAACGCACGCCACGGCTTGAGGAAATTCTCGTCCAACTTTGTGCTAGTACTCCAGTACTTGCCTGCTTTAATAATCCTGCTTGGCTCTTTAACCACCGCACGTTAGCGTCGGTTAATCTTTGCATTAACACCGCACACAAACGAGCAAACAGGAGAATTAGCTTCCTTAATGCTCTGTGCCGCAGCATTAGCGCCGGCCTTCTCTCGATACACTTTTAAAAGTCCTCCACGTAAGGAC